GAGGCCGCTGGTACCGTCAGTACCCTCTCTTTGCTACTGTCACCCACCCTACGCTGCCTCCGTCTTCCCGGAGATAGCATAGCATCGTAACTGTACCGTCTCACCCTTAGCAGTCTCCCACCGCCCCAGCACTTGGAACATCGGGTCATTCATCTCGTTAGATAGCATAACCGTACTCGTTAAGGTCCCGCCCCAGATGTCCAATGTTCCGCCCACCGTTATAGCAAAGAGACGCTACCAAAATTGCCCAGCCAGACTGCGTGCCTGTAATACCGCAAGTGGTCGGCTCGGACGTGACGTTCTTCTCCATCGCCTTCCGAGACTATGGAATGCTGGTCCTGTCTAGCCGGGCGAGAGCTAGATTCAGCCAGCGTCTCTTGGCTGGACGTCTTGATGCCACTGCTGCTGTTGCCGGGCGCGCGAGAGAGAGAGAGACAATAAGATATGTACGTAAACAGAATCGGGTGTTGGCAGGGACCCGGAAGGGCGGGCTGGATTGTCCGTCCGAGACACTCAGCTGACGTAGCTGGCGTTTTTGCCTAGTCTCTTGGACAAGGCGCAGAGGAGGCCGGCCCCAAATAAAGACGCCTTCCTTCTCACTCTTGGCGAGTGGTGTACGGTGTACGGTGTACGGTGTTACGAAGTATTACCTCTTTGCTCCAAGCGGTTTCTCCGCACATGCCCCCCATCCAACGATGGGATACGGATCCAGTGAGACATGTCAGTCAACCATGCGTTTGGCCCTTCCTCTGATGGGAACGAAATGGAATGGTCGTGCGGAGGAAGGGGGGATATACGCAAAAGGCAACGCAGCGGATTATGTATGAGCTTCAAGTTTCTGGCGGATCGGTTGGTTTTCTCTGTAGACCAATTCATGCATCTGAAGGAGAGAGGTTCTGCCGTTGGTAACTACGCCGCATTGGATGACCTCCTCGATGTCTCGGACGGCGGAGCGGAGGGATACGAGCCAAGCAAGTAGGGAAGCACCTGATGATCCTCCTCTGCTGATCCGGGGAAGAGGGGATGACCTCCTCTTCAGTCGCACGCGGGGCGAGATCAGCGACAACGCCTCGTCTGTTCGTCTTTTTCCCCTCTTACGGACACATTCTTGCACACACAACGAGGCACGCAGCATCGCCGTCGCGCGATTGGCGATTCCCGGCCTCTTGTCTGAGTAAGCTTCGTGTCTCTCTTCGGAAGGATTCCTCTTAGACGACGGGCCTGCCTCAGAAAGGAGGTGATTAGTTGGTCCGCTCGGCCAGTGGCTAGCATCCTTGGCTTGGTTGGAAAAACCGATTGCGATGTTGTCATACTTGCCGGTAGGGTTGCTTGTTGAAAGACATGGGAGCAAGGTAGTACGACTCCACTGCTGAGATGGACTATATAAGACATGGAAAGGGGCTACCTTTGTAAACACAAGAATTTCAAGTCAAACAGCAGTCAACTGTAAATACTCAACCGCACATCAAACACTACAACCAACACAGAAGGCAAGTTTCTCTCGCCTCGCTTCATTTCTCTACTTCTCCCCCGCCTATCCACAGGTCTCGTCACCAAGCCGCAATGCAATTCAGCCGTCAAACCCTCCTCCTCGCCCTCGTCGGCGCCCTCTCCGCCGTCCACGCGTCCCCGGCGACGTTCCCCGACGCCCTCGCGGCCCGCGACGAGCCCAAGGCCGACTGCTGCTCGTGCGACCTCCAGAACCCGGGGCCCAACTACATCTGCACCGTGCCCAAGGGCACCTGCAACGTCCCGGCCATCGCGTGCCCGCACGACCCGGCGACGCAGGAGCAGTGCTGCTGCTGCGACATTGGCGTGCCGGCTATACGGTGCCAGGCGATTCCCAAGGGGAGCGGGTGCTTCTGCACCGCGGTCAAGTGCCCTTTCCAGTTCGAGTATTCGTACTTGCCACTTTCCGGATGAGCTTTAGGCACGGTTGAGGGAGTTGATGGATAGGGGTTTAGGGTGCTTGTTTGGGGGAGGGGGGCGGTGCATGTAAGGAAGGGAGGTTGATGGACAGGTTGAAAACAAAGATTGGATACCGGGGTGGTGTGGTTGTGTGTTGACAGACTTGGTTGGAATCTTGTTTGATACTTTTCGAGGCTGTGCTACAGGGACAAAGGACTATATTCGCTCAACATGATATGATTTTTGCTGATTGAGGAGTGCCCCAAAGTGATGTAAGAAACGACATTGTTTGGAGACTCTAATCTCAGAGCCTGTTGTGTAAAGAGAAGAAAGTCTTGAGATGAAGATGCCCTCCCTCTCGATACCATTGGGGCCGGGCCATGGCGTCGTGTAATGTGTGTGACATCTGGTGTCGTGTCATTCGGAATGTCGTTGGCGATAGGCTTATCCTGCCAGCCATGGGGATCAGGAGCGTGGAATGGGGCATGTCGGGGATTGAGGTGCAGAAAAGCCGTGCAGTTCTCCCAGTTTGTCCAGGCAGTCAAAAGCCATTCAGGACCATCTGCTTGCAGTTTGGGCAGTTTTGACAGAAAAACATACAGCATCAAGGTTCCAGGCTGTTGCAAACGTAGCGGCACGGAAGTGGTCTTGCCTAATGTCGAGGTTGCCAGGATGAGCATGGGCGTCCCCCGTGATCCAGGAGGGTCCAAGGAGCTCATCGGATGCCTTGCTTTGTTTCCCTGAGAGTGCCACACCACGGCGAACGCCAAGTAGTCAGATCAGTCTCCGCCGACGACGGCTCGTACTCCCAGGGTGACGCCGGTGCTGTAACCAAGATGGGCTTCGGGGTAGGAACCTTGTCGTAAAAGTTCTTTTCATGGCTGTTCCCCATAATCCCCACAATGTTGTCCCCTCGGTATATGTCCAGTCATTATCTCATTGACATTCGAGAAGGAGGCCGATATTGAAACTCTGCCAATGTTTTTCTGACCGCTTGACTTGGCAAGAAGGCGTCTTGGTGGCAACACAAGCAGCCGAAAAGATCTTGCCTGTTTCACAGAAAGGCAACTTGCAGAGCCTGGTGAGTTTAACGACAAAAGCGGACCCGGATTTCTCAATGCGGAATAACGGCTTGTATCACGACAGGAAACCTGCGTGATCTTACGTTGGATGCGGTACACCATGTTGTCCCACGATCCAATCATGCCAAAGCAAGCTCATGCTTGCTCGAACAATGGCCAATCAAAGAACTGCGGCAAGAGCGTGCTCATAACGCATAGAGGACTAACGGATCATGCGGTCTATGCTTACGACTTTAATAAGGACGTATATTAGGAAATGCAAGAACAGACCCATAATCATATTCACATCTCAGTGATGTCTTATCACTTGGACAAGGCGGGGCCTATGGCCAAATCCTTACAACCAACCTATATGGCTAGGGAATGGGGGAAGTGTATACTGGCCAATAAGTAGCTGATTCCTGACCAATCAACGAGTGATCACCTCATCTTTTGTCCGTTTCCGGCAAACTTCATGTCGCTTTTCATGTCTGCCAGCCAAATCAACTGAATCAACTTCTCTCAGAGGATCAGTTCGACTACTTCTACTTTTGTCAACAACGCCCGCTTCGACTTTTCGCGGGTAACTGCTTCCGCAGAGAACGCATACGGAGCCTTGTGATTGTCAATGAGCTTATTTCGGCAACAACGAAAATGTATGATTTGATAGTTGCATAACATGCATACACCCTTTGGCAGATTTTAGATGTTCCGGAAAACAACAGGGAATCTCAAAGCCAGTGAGGAGGAATACGTCAGCCACGCCAGCTTCAGCGGTGGCTCGCCTGGCTCTGGATGTAGGTCCATGTCTAGTTGGTTCAACTACACACAAACAGTAGCCATGCCTTGGTTGTAGATTCAAGATCCCACGTGGCGCCTAGGTGGGGTGTCACTTGCAAAGATATCCGCATATTGAGGGTTAGAAAAGCTGCGTTATAGGAGAAATCCACGAATTACCAGCTGCACCATAGAAACTGGTCTCCAGACTGTACTAAGGCTGTTGGTCGAGAACAACTTACGACAACCGTCCACTGTGTACAAGGGATGGTACACCGAGACTCTCGGGGCATGAGCTGAACAAGACATGCAATACAGTCAGCTCCAGCCGGATTGACAGTCTTGGCGAGTAAAGAGTGCCAACATCATGTCGTTGATGTCTCCGAAGGGCGCGGGATGTGCTAATACAGTGGACCCAAAACACTACTTACTACATACACCACTACGTACCCAGAAACGGCCAAAAAAACATACAACACCAGGTATTCGCTGGTCGTCACCGACCCAACTACTAATCCGGCCCTCACTGGCTTATCTATGGGAGAGCGGACGGGATCCCGAGTTCTCCAGTGGGTATGGTCGTATGTGCTATGATTCAGATCTTTGAGAGTCTATAACCGGCCGGCTCGAAGCACTGGCGCCTGCTCATATCTAAGTGAGCTCGTCATCGAACAGGTAATAAACTAGCGCAAGGGTAATAAACGCAACTATAATGACGGCAGTGGTTGATCGCTCCTTTTGTCAATACCTGGCCTATCACATTGATACATTAGCAATGCTTTGCTCTCTCACTCCTGCTACTCGAAACTACAATGAACATAGCCAAATGAGTGACAGTATACTGTTACTTTCATGTCACCGAAACATTCTTTACCAATCATCCTACAGTGAATGCTAGCTTTCTTTTTCCTGCCACGTCTTGCATCGCATTATCCATTCTAGCATGTACAACCTAGCAGTCATGTAATATAAGCAGGAAGAGTATGTGAAAGCAGAGCAACTGCATCGGCAGACGTTGGAACTGAGGATGAAATTAGTGGACCTACATGATCCCTCGATACTAGAAGACATTGGTGACCTGGTAATTGTCCTTGGAATACAATGAAAGTATGATGAAGTTAAGAAAATGAGTTCATACGCAGCAGTGAAACTTTGAGAGTTTATTTGGGGCAAAAGTTTCTTCTTAGATCAGTTGTTTCGGGCACATATCCAATGTTAGTTGTTTCTGCCAATAATCGCTCCTATTCATGGTAGTCGGCACTCCCGAGGATGCAGTAGTTGTTACCAAGCTGCACGAAACATACCAAAGAGCCACAAATAACGGTACGTGTTCCTTGACGTAATATATGCGAAAATAGATATTTTCATCTGATCACTGGAAGACTGCGAAGGACTATGTTGTGGCTCGGCGGGCAGCTCCTTTTCTGAAAGATTGGTAGAAATGTACGACCGGTTCGTTTCCTCAATGTCAAAACGATATGCTAAGGCTTGTCAATCTTTAAGTCATCTCAGTATCGCCCTCCCGACTTGCGATTCCGCCCATGCGGCAGGAGAAAGCCAGTTCACCATCTACACACATGTTAAACTTGGCTTTGGAGGAAGATCATGGCAACAGTTCACAGTGATGAACCGCAGTGTCTGCTAGGAAGGATGCAAAGTAGTCGATCTATCTAGGATCTATATGTGAGATGATGCCGAGTAGATATGCATATCCATAGAAGTGATCTGTGCGTGTGGTAAGCCACATCTGTGACGGCCACAACTGGTACTAGCCACACAAAGCTCCTCCAAGCTTCAATGCCTTCACTGTTTTTTTTTTTTTTTGTCATTGGAAGCTACATAAATTGCCACTCGGTCTTGTGATGAGATGAGAATTCAACACGGCTCCATCGTGAAGATGCCCGTTTGTGGTCTGTCCAAAACACCAGAGGCTAGGTATCCACACCGAGTCCGGCGATCAAACGGCTTCTCATCAAGACCCCTGCCCACCCACAGTTTCAAGTCTCCATCCCGTCAGGGGCGCCCCATCATAGCGAGTCTAACTCTGTTCCCTACGCGGGGAGCTACCTCCCCCGAAGCGGGAGCTTGACAAGTCTTTCTTTTCTTTTTTCTTTGCTGTTCTTCATCTCAGCTTCTTCTTTTGCTTCTTCGTTGCTGCTCCTGCCGGCCAATTGAGCTCGAATCACTGTAGGCCGCGTGTACGAAATGGCATTCAAGGCTCTCCTGCCGTTGCTGGCGCTTGCGGGCGCGGGGTTCGGGTGGCAGCACAAGACCGAGGCCGAAGTTCGCGATGCCCTCAAGTCCAACGAGTTTAGCCTGGTAGCGTGTAAGCAGACCCCGCAGATCGCCGAATCGAGTCCTCGTCCACGGCCGTGCTAATGATGCGAATAGTTGTTTCGGTAAGCCCCCTGACAACAAGATGAGCCGTTCAGCCAAAATCAGCTGCTGTTCATCGCATGTTGGCCCCGGTGCTGACGGACCAAGCCCTCAACGTAGACCACCCCTCCTTCCACATCCGTGACGGCATCCGTTAACCCCGCCACAGCGACGTGAGCAAAGCCCTCGAGCAGCACTGGTCCGCCGTCGAGGAAGCGATCCCGACCGCCCTGTCCGTTGACTGCCTGGCCCACCCTTCGCTGTGCGCCGACCTCGACGTTGTCTCTTTCCCCGCCATCCGGCTGTATCTCCAAGACGGCACGAAACACCGCTTCCGCGGCCCTAGGAAGGCGTCCGAGTATGTCCCCCTCTTCCCTCCCCTCCTGCGTCAACCGAGTCCTTTCGTCTCTTACTGAGCCGCACGTCCCCTTCCAGGATCGCTGCCTTCGTCCGCCGCATGCTTCGCCCCGCCGTGACCCTCCTCGACGAACAATCCGCAACCTCCTTCCGCGACGAAGACGACGTCGTCATGATCGCTCACGTGACCGAGTCGGAGACGAACCTGCGCGAGCGCTTCACCGGGATGGCCGAGCAGTACCGGGACCGTCACACCTTTGGGCTGACGACGATCGACGAGGCGCCGGGCCGGATCGGGTGCTACAACAACGCGGACGGGTCGTACCACATGACCTCGGAGCTGGATGAGGTCGGCGCCATGGAGAACCTGCTGCGCTCGTGCGCCTCGCAGCTCGTGCCGCGGTTGACTCGCCGGAACGAGGCCGAGCATTTGAGCGTTCGTGGTCCCTTTTCCTCCCCCCCCCACCCGTGAATAACACGTCCGTGTCGTGGCACCGCTGATGTTGGGATCTACAGACCGGAAAATCGCTGGCATACTTCTTCTCGAAGGACGAGGGGAACCTTGACGCGTGGACGTCCGCCGTCAAGCCGCTGGCGCGCAAGTACCACGAATACATCACCTTCGTGACGGTCGACTCGGGCGAGTACCCGGAGATGCCGGGCCTCTTCGGCCTGCGCGCCAGCGCCAGCGAGGGCGTCGTCGTGCAGAACCCGTCCGCCGGCCTGGCGTTCCCTTTCAAGGGGGACAAGATCACGGTGGAGGCCGTGGACCGGCACATCCTTGACATTTCCGAGGGCAACGCCGATGCCTGGCAGGTGGGCTCGCCGGCCCTGGAGGAAGAGGAGCCAGAGGAGGTGCCGGCGCAGGCGGGCGAGGAGGAGCAGCAGAAGGCTGCCCGGCAGGAGGAGAAGAAGACCGGGGGCGAAGAGACGAGTGGGGGCAATGCGGCGGCGCACGACGAGCTCTGAAAGGGCGGCGTCGTGATCGGACTACCGAATTTCACCTGTTTCCTCAGAAGACAAAAACAAAAGCCCTCGTTTCCAATAACCCTTACCATGGCCCACCCTGCTTTGATGTCATTGCAGAACCGGACAAGTCGAAAACGCAAAGTAGATATGCCCAAAAGCATCGTCCGGCGGCAGGGAGCACGCGCGGACAGGCCGAACTGCGCGACAGACTGGCCCTGGATACTATACCACGAGCCCCCGTCCGGCTGCCGAGCTTTTCACGTTATACACCATGACAAGCAGTGACATTCAACTCTTGGATTGGGAATAAAGAGACTGGAGCGGACCTTGTATTTTTATGCGTCTCATTATGATGAAGGTTGTTGATAAGAAACCCGGGCTGTGGAGGCGGACTTGAACACCGACTTTCCCATCTCCATCGGGGCCGAAGCTCCCACACCCCCTCTCCGTCGTCGAGAAGTTCTTCTGGCCTGGTACACAATGCGGGGGAGGTAGAGGATGCTCCGGCGTTGCCTTCCCCATTAGTGCCTTGTGATGATGGTGAGGAAACTAGGGCGCCGGCATCGCCAGCCCCTCCCCTTCCGACCTCGACCCGAGAACAGTTTGATTCGCGGGCGTATGACGTAGCCTCTTGACTTTTGACTCGGACAGTCTCCTTGCATGGTAACAACTTTTCTCGGAACTGCCGACGAAGCTCCGACGCTGTTGGTTGCCCAACAGCCGGTCTCGTAGAGCCGGGGAGCCGGGGACGACTCCGGCGCTTAGTTGCCAACTCGATCGAGACTATAACCTTTCAACGGAGTTCATAAGCCTATCAACTAGGGTTTGCAAGGTTTTGACAGCTTCGGCTTCAGACAATAGATACAGAAAGGGGATCTCAAATCGCGTCCAACGCTAGCCCGCATGAGAAACTCGGTGGCCACCCCTCCCGTAGCCAGAACATCTAGCGACCACGACTACCCTTTTTTCGCCTCCGTGACGAGAAACAGGCTGCGATTGGACCGCAAAAAAAAAGAGCTATCTGAAGACAAGATGCTTCGATAACAATAACAAACACCCCACTGCAGGGCAGGAACGCGTAGCCGCCTTCTCGATCCGTCCTGGAGATCCGCGAATCCGCCACACGATCCTTCTTCCTTCAGCGCCCTTGGCACTCGCCGTTTTGTCACCCCTTGCAACTCGAATAAGACCACCAACCAGCATTGGCTAATCGCAGTGCTGTGCCGCAATCCCATCACAGCAAACGGGCCTTGGCTTCTCAGACATGCTGCCTCGCGTGCCTCTCTGCGCTGGGGAGTCGATTGGCCCCCCCCCCCGGGTTTCCGTCGGGCGAGAGACTCGGCTCCTACCGCGTTCCTTCCCACGATCCCTCGCCTCTTGGCGCGGTTGGCCGACTAGGTTGAGATTGGTAGTTGAACAAACGAAACGGTCTTCGGAGGAGGAATCTGGATTAGGAATGTGGAAAACTCCCCGCCGTGGTAATGAAGAAAAAGACAGGAGCGTTCTCGCAATGCGTAGCTGTCTTATCTCGACCGCGACGGGCATATAAGCCAACCTCCCCCAACTCAAAAGAAAAAAGAATCTTGTAATATTCAACCGCAATCACAAAACCAACTCGAAATTGTAATAAAAAAAAGCCCCTTTCAAAGTTTGTCCTGATTACCAGTAGGGGCATAGAAAAACCACCTGCCCTCTCCCGCTCTCTGCGCCAAGACCCCCCCCCCCCCCAAGAATCAAAGATGCAGCTCAAGTCTCTCTTCTTCCTCGCCCTCGCCGCCCTCTCCGCGGCCGAGCTCGACGAGCGCGCGCCCACAAAGGCCGAGTGCTGCTGCTGCTACGGCGGGCCCTCGGTCGGCTGCGCCGCCGACCTCGACTGCTCCGACATCACCACCAGCGTCTGCTTCGACACGCTATGCCCCTTCAGATAGGGCGAGGCACACAAGGCCGAGAGGGGGAAGGTTCGGACGGGAGATCGCCGTGGGCGAAGGCTCGGACGGGACGCGTTCTAGCCTGGCTTGGCATACACTACTATGTTGGCCGCTGGCTGACGTTGAGAGGAGGGTGGGAGCGGAAGGGAGGAAAACAGGCTAACCAGTCCCCCTCCCCCCCTACCCCGAGTTCTCTGAGCGGTCGCTCCGGCCACCACCGTGAAGAACAGGTCGGGCGGGCCGTAGGGATGGGTAACCCTCCCGGGAGCCAAAGAACTCCCGTCCTCCGACTAAGAGACTCTAGCCAACGAGAAAACGGAAAGGGAAAAAGAAAAGTTTAAACTTCCACCGCCCACCCACACCCCAGGCGTCAGCCGTATCATTCCACTGCCGGCTGCTGGCGGCGGCACGTCATTCACCCCCCCCTCTCTCATTTTCAGTCCTTCGAGCTCCCTTGGGGATCCCTTTTTCGTCCCAGACAACCTAAACAAATGCGTAACCCCCGTTTGAGACATCCATCGCTACAGAGGCCGGGAAAAGACAGGCTCCCGTATAAATACGTAATGCTGAAGTATATATATATATATATATATATACATATATATACTCCGTATATAAAAAAATATAAAAAAACACAGAACAAAGGGAGACTTCAGCACTATCAGACGAATGTCGGCCAGGCCATGACCACTGAAAAGCCATACTGAAATCATAGGAAGGGTCAATGCCCTGTTTTCTCCCTCTTTCTCGCTCCCCTTACCCCAACCTAGCTCGCGTGAGCTTGTTATAGTTTGGCCACTTCGTCATCATGCAGATGCCAGTCGATTGTGTGTGTGTGTGTGTGTGTGTGTGTGTGTACGCAACTATGCACCGGAATGGCCGAACGGCGGCGGCGACATAGTTCCCCATCCCAGGGCCTGGCCCCTCGCCACAACTTGGCTGGTGAACCCGGAGCAAGTGTGCCGCGCCCTCAACCGACGACTATTGGCTCGTAGCGGCAAGACAGCTTGTCGGGTGTTTTACCTGTAGGTATGCATGTATACAGCCTCTGTATGCACATGTTGCACCTTTGACACAGATTGGGCCGATGGGTGTTGCGTTGTGCTTTTGTTCTTTTTTGGGTCACGCCGTCCGGCCCGCTACTCGCCTTCTACCCGCTCAGGCCGTGGAAAACAGGATCTGATGCTTTCGGAATAGAGGACCTTCGGAGGTGAATCTCCCGCTACGTCAGATATATAGCAAACAAAGCAGACTTATACTGTGTGACCTGACGACACCGTTACATGGAGGCCGAGGATCGGATCCCAAGGCTTCGACGTCCACTGGCATGTGGGCCGAGCTGAATCTCCAGTCGCATGTATTCGGAGTATTAGGACTCTAGCAGTCGAGCGCGCGAATGTTACTAGACTTCGTCTCGGACCGTATGACAAGAACGGGCGCGCGCCCAGCATCGAGTTACTGGTCGACGGGCGACGGGTGCCGCATGGTCGGACAGTTGTTTAGTGTAGACACAAGTCCAGTTAGGAAGAGTGAGCCCTGGAGCGAACCCCAGGAGCCGTCCACGTAAACAACGGGTGATGGAAAAAAATCAGGCATGATTCGCGATTAAGTTTGTCGTGTATGCTTCCTCCTCCTCAAACAGTAAACCCCTTTCCGCCATCCCAAGTCGCCGCTTGTGTGCAATGTTAGTACCCGGAGGCCATTGACCCAAAGACGCATAAAACAGGGCCTTTTTATTGCTCCAACCCAACAGAAAATAGATAAATCAAAAAGAATCCCGACCGCCCCGTGATATCTAAGCTTGGTATGTTTCTCTAATCCCGTAAATCGCTCGCTGATGGCAAGAGACTCTCTAATGCGTAGAACCGTTGGCAGAAGAGTGCAGAGAGTGTACGGTATGTCTCTGTGATTGTCTGCATTTCGCCTTCAAAGGAGACTAGGCGGTCTGGCCGTTGGTAGCGGCTGATTCGGCGGCGGCGGACTCATCTCGGCATCGTTGGCACATGCACCATCCGCCAAGGCTCCCTTTGGCCCATTCTCTCCGCTGATCAACCGGGAGCGTGATGTCGCAGTAGTGGTTCAGCACCTCGTCTCCAGCCTTGAGGCCACCCGGAATGTTGCCCACGATCCTTTCGTTTCGCGCCCAGAGCAGCATGCGCCCACCCCACTCCCATGTAACGTTCGGGTTGCAGTCGTGATTGGCCAGGCACCAGAAGGGATGCACCGCTGCTACATCGGGTCGGCCGTCTCGAGGGTTCTTGCGTGCCGACGCCGTACCGCGGAACTTGCTGTAGAGCGTGTTCAGGACCCATAAGTCGTGTTCGTTGAGAGTGGCGTAGATGTCGACATCCATCTTCTCGAGGATGTGGAAAGGCGTCTCGATGTTGTACTTGAACGAGAAAGGCAACGTCCAATTCGGCGGCGGGTTCGCAGACGGTGATATCTCGATTTCGTTGGATGCCGAGGGCACAAAGTCGCCCCAGATGTACTTTATCTGCATCACATCCAGGGGATGAATACCCTGATGGTTGGATATGGCCAAGATGCGAGCCAGCAGCAGCAAGTGTAAAGTCTCGTCTGCTTCCGACGCGTCAGGGTCTTTGGCGATAGCATCAACATCCTTTTCGCAGACAGCAGGGTGGTATGCCTCTTGCGCTAGATCGTGGCAGCGTTGGCTGCAGAAAACCGTGTCGTAGCATTCGTCGCAATTGACAGCGCCGGGCTCGTGGCCCAAGGGCGGCAGCTCGGCGCTGCATGCGTCGCAAACCGGCTCTTTGAGACGGTTGTTAGCGGTCAGAAGCGAGTACTCGTCCAGGACGGTTTCCCCTGGCGCAATGTCTTCCTTGACGAAGAGGCCCAGCTGGTTGCAGGTGGGTATGAACTCGCAGTCGTCCATCTCGCTGGCTCCCTCCAACAGAACAGGAAGCTGGGACACCTGGACGGCGCACTTGGGCGCAAATTTAGACAACTCGGCGTTGAGGAAGTCGAGAGACTCGGGCGCAAAGCGATCGGGCTCGTACGAGTTCCAGGGGTAGACTTCTCTCCGCACAAGTCCCCATTCTGGCAGGACATTGGGGTTGAAGTCTTTCTTGCGAAGTCTACGGCGAGCCATGTCCTTGATGTATTCCATCGTCTGCAGCAACTCGTCGTTTGTGGGAGCGAGCGTCAGGCCCCGCTCGCAAAAATCGTAGGCGCTCTTCAGACAGCCGCACAGTAGAAGGCTGAGCGACAGGATCTGGAAAGCGCGCACGGAGGACAGCTTGGCCACGTGCGCAACCAGACCGGTCTGGTCTTTGGCCTCATCGTCAGCATAGTCGCTTCCAATGTGTAGTAAGTGCCCGTGGTCGAGAACAAGGGGCAAAGGGTCCAGAGGACGTGACTGGAGGCTTTCGACGGCTTGCTCGTGATACTCAAAGCCCTCGTTGAGGACCTCGTCAGCAAGAAGCAGAGCGCGGTAAGCGTCACCCGCGGCGAGATCGGGATAGGCCAGCTCCGAGTGAACCACGGCGCGCTCGAGGTATAGAATCAAGTCATAGGGAAGGCCGGTCAGCGCGTCGGTAAGATGTTGGCGGCGTTCCAGAAGTTGTTCTGCACGCTGGGAGGCGTCGTCCGTCAAGGGCGACTCGTTGCCTGTTGTTGTAGTGCTGTCCGCAGACATTGCGTTTAGCGAAGCCGGTACAACGTGCTTGCTTGGGGTAAGATTGGCGAGGGATGGCATGCGATACGTGCAAAAGCTCCGAGCTTAAAACAAGAAATCGCAGATACGAGCGAGAGAGGGGGGGGGGGGCGAGAAAAAAAAAAGAAAGAAAAAAAAGCCGCCCAAGGATCGAGGCTGAAATCGAGATGAAAGTAAGTGACACTGACGTCAGTGAGGAGAAGCAACGATCCTGGTTCCCCTGGGCTCAAGGTCCAGGTCAGACGGAAGTGTGCTGTGGTACCTAACTGGAACACCATCCGTCTATGGAAACGGAACGGTGAGAAACAACCTGAATCCTGGGAGCAAAATAACCCTGCTGGCACGCGGCGACGGCGCGGCAGCGATGGTGTCTAAAGGATTTCGATTTCGAGCCTTTTCGGCAACGGGAACGGGGCAAGCCCACAATGGTCAGGCCACTTTATGACAACCCTGCCTGGATCGAGCCGCCGGAATGTCGAGATGCGGCTACGAGAAGAAGGAGCCGGAAAGCGGATGCAGGAAATGATATGTAGAGAAGGAATGGAATCGTAGAGAAGGGTGTATGTCCTTTCTTTGCCCGTGACTGGGGAAACGGACGTGGCTGCTTTGGTGGATAACGAACGGCGTCCAAACCAATCGATGGCAGTTCGCTTCTTTATTTTATTTTTTATTTCAAGTCGCAGCTTATTCTCTCGCCCTCGGGGTTGGGGTTCTTTTTTTTCGTCTTCTTCTTTGGTCTGTTTGACACTCTTAGCAGAAGGTTAGTCGATTGATCCAGGTCAGTCCCGGTAAGACGGAGACTTTTGACACTTGGTTGATAGCAGTTCCGTCCAGGCGTGCCGTTTTTTGAGGGGTAGCTTGAGGGAAGCAGCAATCGCAAGACGGTTTCTTCGTCCGGAGAGAGGAGAGAAGAAATTTGCAACAGGTCCAATTGGATATTGGCGTGGATGGCGGTTCGTTCGTGCGCGATGACAAGTGGGGGGGTTTCTGGACCCTTGAAAAATGGAACTTCAGGGTCCTCATGCGTGGAGGGGTAAAACTGCCCTCCTGCCGGCCTGGTACTTGGACATTGCGTAGCAGCCGCTCGTAAAACTACCCGCAAGCGCAACACTGAACCGACCTCGAAGCTTCTACCCTGACGTTGACTCGTGAGGCGCGATGCCGTGACTGGAGCAGAGAGCACCCAGGCGTCCATGCCACACAACAACCCCTTGGCTTCCCAGGGAGCCCCGGGAGAGGGGGCGCAGTGACCCTTAACTATCTACAATGTACTTATACACTACGGATACATTACCTATAGACAGATACCCACACGCAACACATGACAAACCTTTGATGCTAGCGGTCGGACAGAGTCGTTAGTGGCAGCTGGCAGCACCCTGGATGGAGGGAGGCGTAATGTATCCATAGACAGACACGTACGGATACCGGTAGGATACGTTTGTTCTTCCGATATCCGTACAGATGGATACACTACCGCCATCACATCACCATCGGGGGTAGGATAGGGATCCCAAGCCTGTCCGTGCATGATCCCCTCCTCCACCCCGTGGGTTGCGTTTTGTCGCGAATGGGGGTTGGGGCTTTCTTTCTCCAAGGAACGACATGCTGAGTGACGTCACCAACCAGAGCCCATTTTCTTTCTGCCTTGCCTCCCCCCATGGGTTCCTGCTTCTCTTGCGTTGGCTTTCGGCGTGGCATTTCACATGCCACCTCAGCCAGTGACGGGTTTGTCTAGAGACAAGCGACCTTCTCTGGGTACAAGTACCTGGCTTGCTTACCTACCTAGTGTGGTGAGGTGGTGTACATACCTACAAAGCAATACATGTCACGAAATAAACACTCGCATTAGATCGGCCTAGGTAGGTACCAGTGTAGTTGGTATACCTGGCCCCTCCTAAATCCCTTCCACGGCGTCGCCCCTAGGCCCGAGAGCACACCGTTTTGGCGTCGTGCCGAAGTTATTTCCATCATCGGTGTCGCTCATTCTCCTTGTCCGTCCGTCAGTGCCTGATCGGCATCCGGGGACAGCAGGGACACGCAGAATGAGGCTTGCTTCCGTGGGCCCTGGCACCCTCCCTGGTCGTCATAATGCCGCTTGCCGCGCTGCTGTCTGGTTCGCGATAGGGGTCCAGGTGATCGATGGCCTTGTTGCAACCTCTGCCCCGCTGTCTGCCGCTCATCGTCAATTCGGGAAACGTCCAACATGGATCCTCTGCAGGCTCTGCCCCCTCCGTGGACGCGATTGTGCGGGCTCCTTGCGTCGTCTAGCGTGTGGGCTCGCGGCGCGGTGGGCACACCGCCAGAGATGATACGATGATGCCCACATTCTGCAGTACGCTGTAATCTGCCAGTAACTTACATGCACGAACGATTTCGATTCCTCCCCAATCTTCTCTCATTCGCACAACGCACATCGCCAAAGTAGCCGGACCGTTTGTAGATGATGCTATTGCGGCATTCCGTTTCAAAAGGCAACGGTTCATCAGTTAAACGGTGTGACCCGCAAGTCCCCCTCACACTTGGCATTTGGGGCGATGACGACAGCGTCTCCGCTACTGTCGGACCAAGTTCCTGGTGAGCACCCCCGCTCGGAACCCAGCGCTTCATGATGTTCCCATGAAGCGGGAAAGTAAGAGGTTTCCCTAGTCAGGCCGGCGCTATGACGTCAGAATCAAGATTATCTCGATGCACCAAACAGCCTTATCACGCTCCATCGAATCCACGCCCAGCTCTATTTGCTTTACCCAAGGACCCTGCGGTATATTTCGAGTCATGCAGGTTTCTATCAAACAGGTAACGCAGCGATGCCCTGTTCTTGTCGAGAACCCCAGCAGCATCCGTGCTAGCTGTAGTAACTGGACAATGGCCGTTGCGAACGCGAAGAAGGCCGACGACATTGGCACGCGACAAGGCTTTTGCGGTAGCGTCTTGCAGAAATTCGTAAGCATGAGCATTAGTGCTGGGTGGTTGCGTAATGTCGCCAAATTGACACAACGTCCGTTGTCTCAGCAATGTCTCTGGACGCCTCTGTTGATGTTGGTGTCGACAGTAGAATGATGTGTCGTCGACCAGGTCCCCAACACGCAACAGCCGTCAGTTTAAATTAGAATCAGTGTGCAGTCACCATCTTTTCTAATCAGTAGTAGTCCGCAGCTGAAGTTGCGCTGGTTCATGGGCCGGTGGGCGTTCTAGACTCCTTCCCGGAATCTTTGACACATGCCAGAGACCGGCAGGCAAGACAGCAACAACGTGGCGGAATGGCTTGCTCGTGCTCTTGTTGCAGCACCTTGGTGTTGATGCAAGGGGCAGGCATCAAGGCCGGGGAAATTAAGGCCCCCCTCCCACCGGGCGTCGGACAGTAGCAGCCGACGAGCCGGCAAGCGGACAGTCGGCTGGCCCAGGGCGAACGTGGTTCCGGAAACATAGCAGGCTGTCCGAGTCCAGGAGTTGAGCTTCGACGGCGGAGGCTTTGACTGAGGCTGCATCAGGCACAAAGAATTGATTGGAAAGGCCAGGAATCGGACTTGTGTTGTTGAAATGCTGGTTGTTGGCTTGGCGTGACTGGTGGGCCAGAAGATGATTTCTTTTCTGCGGTGCGGTTTCCTTTCATTGCACACGGGCGAGGCGACGGGAAACGATCGTGCCTCCCCTCGAGCAATTATCGCTTGGATGTCTGATGCTCCTGCCACATACACCGGATGAGCATTGTCCGTCCCTTCCACGTCCAGTGCTTGCCCGCGCCTGCATCTTGTCCTGCACATACCGCATTGGGGGGGCAGGAGAGTGTCACTACTGAGAGAGTCACTACTGCCTCGGTAGGCAGGTAGAGAGTTATGCAGTGTAAGTGAGGGAATGAATGTACTTGCTCTGTCCGGACAATCTTTTGCAGTGCAGAAGCCGGTTCCCCTTCCCCCGTAAAGGAAAATCCAGATGACTGGACCTATACATACAGCTATATCCGACCTTGACTGTTGTTATTCGCCTCAATGTACGTGAACGAAGAGCTCCAACCGTGGTCTCTAGTGGCGTTGCTGCATTCCGACCCATCGCCTTGGCGTCTCGTCACAAATCATCAGTCGAACAATCACCTCACCACCCGCTGGCCATTCGACAGCTACACAGAGACGGATAGACAGACCTCATCCGTCCTAGGCACCGACGCTTCCTGTCTCGGACTAGAAACCACTTGACGTTGACCGCACGATGACTGTATTGTTAGCAAATCACTGTGGGTGCCACCAAATCGACCCAGCTTTGCAAACATGTCACGGTCAGTGTTGTGCCCTTCTCCTCTGCAACACAGAGACGAGACATCCCGCGAGCCAAATCGTCTCGGCAAAGTACCGACATGATCTTCCTGAGAGAGATATTGCTTCTATCGCGAACACGTCAGATATTGGAGATAGATAATCCCGCATTACCTTCACCCACCACCAGTCTATAATAGCCGGTCCACTGGAGACATCGCTTCCCCCCACCAGATCACACCCTCTTGCGCGCACCTCGCCAGGGGCCAGTCAGGCTTTTCCCCCTTCTTCCCGCCGTTATCTGTAAATCGCTGGTGAAACGTACTTTGTACGTGTGCGTGCTGTCCGAAGAGTCTGCGCACATCCGCCCGCACTATCTGCACTTCATGCTATCCGCTTATTGCCGCCAGTCATCGAACGTAAAGCGAGGCGTTTTGATTCGGAGGACCCAAGCTCAGTCTTTATCTGGCCTTAAGCATAGTAACGCATTGGCTCAACCCACAGCTTGAGCTGCCGTCTCTGCCTCCGCCCTCTATCTATTTCTACCTCGTGCTTGTAACGTACCTTGGCCCCGCTATCTGTAGTTTTTTCTTTTCTAGTTTTTTTTTTTTTTTTCTTTTCTTTCCCCTTTTTTTCAGACATCTGGAAACGTCCATGACCCATTCCGCCGCTTAATTCTTGAACCGACCCTCGGCCTTTAATACCTACCTCCCCGAGTAGAGCACAGAGCAGAGAGCTGTCCCCTCCCCGCGCCTCAAGCCTCCTTCGCCTGAACTGTCACACCTCCCCCCGTCCTTGGACCTGCCAACCCAAAAGGATCGCATCCCGCAGAACGAAGTCGAAGTTGCACACAGCTTCTCCAATTTCGGACTACCCCTCTTTGTGCACCAACAACAGACCGTTTTTTCTCCCCCGCCTCAATCCTTTCGCCCCTTTTACAACCTCGCTTTCGACATCAATCTTCCACGCCACCCCGCCTTCCACATACCTTTACCCCACCATGAGCAACAAACAGCCGAACCTCTTCGCTTACCCGTCGGTCGACGCCCTCGCGCCTGCTCTGCGATCCTACGTCATCCAAGCACAGAATGCCGGTCTGAGCCGTCACGGCGCTTTCAAGGTCGCCGTCTCGGGCGGTTCCCTGCCCAAGACTCTGGCACAGGCACTCCTGACCCCTTCGTCTGGGCCCGATGACCAAGTTCACTTTGGCAAGTGGGAAATCTTCTTCGCTGACGAGCGTGCCGTCCCCCTCGACCACGAAGACTCCAACTATGCTCTTCTCAAGAAGGAGCTTCTCGACAAGATCCCCGCCGAGCTTGGTGCCCCGACCGTCCACCCCATCGACACCACCTACCTGAACGATACTCAGGAGCTCGCCGATCAGTACGAGAAAACGCTCGTTACCAGTTTTGCCAGCCGCGACAGCGTGCGTCTGCCCATCTTCGACCTCCTCCTGCTGGGCTCTGGACCCGACGGCCACACTTGCAGTCTGTTCCCCGGCCACGAGCTGCTGCGCGAGACCACCGCCTGGGTCGCCCCCATCGAAGACTCGCCCAAGCCCCCTCCCAAGCGTATCACCCTCACCCTCCCCGTCGTCAACCACGGCGTCAAGATCGCCTTTGTCGCCACTGGTGGCGGCAAGAAGGAGATTATGAAGAGAATCTTTGAACACGGTGACGGTCTTCCCTGCGCCCTCGTCAACGAGGGCGCCGGCGACCGTGTCAGCTGGTTCGTCGACAACGCTGCCGTCGAGGGCGTCAGCTACCCCCGCCGTCCCTTCTTGTGAGCAACACAGTAGTGGTGGACGACCAGAGCGGGGGGGGGGGGAAGGAAGCTGGACATGTGAGGGATGATTGCGTATTAAAAGATTTGTTGTTCATTTTCAGATAGACGGGGATTCGATAAACGGCACATCTCCGGAAGAGATGGAATCTCAAAGAGGATCAGTCGCAGAACACATTCGGGCATCTTGCAAGCGTCGCAGGGTTGGCCCCAGACCTTCTTCCACCATTCCTTGGGTTTTCTCGTCGAAGCCTTTGTTCTCTGGATCTCTTGGCCGGGCCCCAAACTCTTTGATATCCATCGACGCCAAAACATTATGATTTCACGATACGAAGGAAATGAGGCAGAGGCAGAAAGGAAGGAACCTACCGAACGGATCCGGTACGCTGCCGCCATATAGCACGTTTAGCAGTAGATAGTACGACAGCGTCTCTCCTAGCGAGGAGGGGAAACCTGAATGCAACAAAAAAAAAAGTTAACATCATGGATGTCAGCTCATTCGGCGCACATATGATCAGCCCGCACCCACGTATCCGAATCTGTATTCATGTCTTCCTTCGCCCCCGTTGTGGCCCCGGGCGACGGGTAAGCCCGTGAGAATGAGCGTCATCGCATTGTGGAGCGGGTGTGTGTGTCTCTGCATTTCCCGCATCATAACAAGTACTGTGTGTGCGCCACCCCTTGTCTGCCTTGGCGAAACGCCACTTATCTCACCCCGCCGATGGCGATCCCCTATAGGGCTGAGGACGAAACACTTCCTCGTCCTCTGCCGCCTTCGTTATTGACATTGCGGGAAGATCGGCAAGGGGGAGGGGGCGGTGGGCCGTTGGGGAGTCTAAACTCACTTCAAGTCATGTTCTCATGTCCGGAGAGAGAAGGGGAGTCGGCGAACTTTTTTTTTTTTATTCTTCATCTTATTTTTTTATTTATTTTTTGTAAAACAAAACCAGAGGCGGATAGTATAGTACACGAACCGAGTGACGAGGAGTTAGTCCATCCATACTCTTCGAGCTGACGATGAGCAGGAGGGAAAAAAAAAGAAAAAGTAAAAGAAAACAAAAAACCACTTGACAGGCGACGCCGCGGGAAATGACGTCGTTAGTGTGGCAGGGAGACAGACACAGTCTAGGCTCTCCTGGACCGAAATGTCCCCTTCCTTGAGGGGGAGGAAGAGGGGGGGGTAGGGCCCGGAGACTCGGCGTGTATCTTTCCGGAGGCGCGAGCAGGCTACCTACGCCACTGCCCGTACTGCCCGTACCCCCCTCCTTGTTGCACGCAGGACCTGACGGTCCTGACTAACCGCCGGTCCGGGTGGTTTGGGGGCGGGGTAAAGTCGAGCGAGACGAGTCTGACGACGAGCGAGCCGGCATCCCCCTTCCCCAGTACGGTGTGGGTTGCTGTTCCTTCTGCGGCGTACCTTATGGAAGTAGCGCGGCGATCTTACGTGAGTTGAGTGCTGTCTTGGATGAGAGCACGGCCCCCCAACCGTTGTCACTGTTTCTTGAGCTGGTTCCCGTGAAGAGAGGGCCGAAAGTAGTGGAACGGTCATCAAAGATGGCATTCGGTGAAACACAGTAGAGTGGCTGTAATACCAACACAATGTCTCTTTGATGGTCTATTCTCTGCATGAAGAAGCAGAGTCGGCCGTCCCGCCAAAGAGACGAGGTTAAGATTGCCAGAAACCTATAAAGTCTTCAACTCCGTGCGCTCAGACCAGAGACGGAAGTGATATGTCGTTGTCTTACATATAGATATCGAGGGGGGGGCGTTTGAGCTTCTACGACAAAGACGAGTAGGGAGATGCGAGTCCTTTTTGGCTTCGCTATGGGCGATGATCATCATGAGCGAGGGGCTCCCGAGTAAGAACGAAGCAAGAAGTCACGGATACAATAAGCCAGGTTGATTCTCTAGCCTGGTTATTACCATCTATTTGTCTAGTTACGGCCCATAGAATCACAAAAGGCTCTCAGAGAGCGTGTACAAGGAGCGGAAAAGTTAAAACACACAGTTATCAGAGAGTCCTGGAAAGAAGTGCGCCACATGGCCGGGCTGATGTCTCCTTGCCCCTGCGGGAGACGGCCGGAGCGGTGCCGTTCTCGACCAAGATGCGCAGGTGCGTAAGGAGCCCCCGACCGGCGCATCCGTTGCGCCCATGAAGCAGTGGGCGAGGCCAGGGGCTTCAGAGTATTGTAACTTGAGGCGAAGCCGCGTCTATTGACGTGTAACAAAGTACCAGACGAGGAACCGGGTTTGTTTGATCATTTTGTGAGTTTGGATGTCCAGATATCGATGTCGGGAATGGAGTTGGGGAAGATTGGCGACGAGGTTATACTAATATGCCAACCAGGACACATATCCAGCTAATCGCGTGTAAAGGTCGAAAAGGGAGACACTCCCCTGATCGATGAACAAGCCCAAAGAATTAACAACTCTGACCTTTCCTTGAGCAAGGCCACCCCCTTACCTAGGTACCTTCAGCTACGATAGCTTCATGCATTATTGGCACTTCGTATCAGCCTTTTCAGGTGCTATATCATGTGACGTTTCAATTATTACTCGTATAGTCTTCGCTATGTACTAGTGGAATAATCTTTTCATATCTTTACTCTCACAGTGTAAGCCTTTCTTGGCCCAATCCTCCCGTGCCCTGCTGTGTGCTCTAACTCGTGACAGTAGTCATACAGGCAGTTCAGCAGGCCCCTGTTGTCACAATAGCTTTATATATTTCCACCTTATATAACAGCACTCTTATATGTTTTATTACATAAGGTTTTATCTGTTTCTACTAAAAATAGGTCTCTATTTTTATTACTCTCTCTTATATAGAAATAAGCCTTTTAGACCTAAATTATTACAATAGCTTTATGGATTTCTACCTAATGTAATAGCACTATTAAGTGCTTTATTACGTAGTGTTTCACATTTGTTCTCTATATATAGGTCTTGTCGCAAAAACGACGCCGTTAATTGCAAGCAGCAATTAACGCCTTATGTACTACGTACGACAGGTCTCTACTTGCTTTACACTTATTTACGCAGAATTAAGCCTTTTAGACCTAAATCCTCATATACCCTGCTGTATGCTCTAAATTGTGATATTTATAAGCCTAGAGTAGGGTTTATAAAGATTTAGGTCTAAAAGGCTTATTCCTATGTAAAAGGGAGTAAAGAAAGTAGGACCTATATATAGAGAACAAATATGAAACCTTACGTAATAACGCATATAACAGTGCTGTTACATAACGTAGAAATATATGAAGCTATTGTAACAGGACTCTTCCTAGGTTCAGACTGTAAGTACTATACTGCGTAATAGGCACCTAACGCCTGTCTTTTATGCCGCTGCTGATGCGACACAAAGTGCAGTTTTGAAGCGTCCGGCAATCTACAGCTACTGAGAAGCGTCGTGCTTAGGCCGGACCCAATGGCCTGTCGGACGGAGGCTGGATGTGGACCGGCACAGCGAACTCGTAGCTGGGCTTCGGGGCAGGGAGGGAGTCGATCACAGCGGGGTCGCCGGTGAGAGTGAAGTCAAAGACCAAAGACTTGTCGTTGTCCAGCTCTAACTTGTAGTCGCCGGGGAAGATCGTCAGGTTCCCCTGGGAGTCTGACCTGGCGAACGAGCCGAGGGTCAATTTCAGCGTGAGCTGGTCGCTGGCACCGGTCTCGATATCGTGAGCCCGCGAGTATGACGCAAGCGACTTATTCGGCCGCGGTACGGGGCCGGCGTTTTTGCTCGAGAGGAAAAGAAGACCGACGTAGTCAGATCTGACATTGCCCACGTTTTTGACCGTCACATTGACCGACGTGAAAGGCGTGGTGTCGGTGACGTGCCCATTGTTCTGAGACCGTGCCCAGGAAATGATATTGGAAATATCATATGTAGGCTCTAATGTGTCCTTCCAGGTAAAATTGAACTTGGTGTAGTGCAGACCGAATCCGAAAGGGAATACGGGCTCGCCGATATACCACTTGTAGGTCCTTCCGGGAAACGTCCCGTTTGGTCTGAGGTTGATGTTGAAAATGCTGACAAGATCGGCGTAGCTGGCAGGGTACTGCGTGGTTGGTAATCTGCCAGCAAAGGACGCTTTGCCGACGACGAGATCATACATGGCCAGGCCTCCGGCCTGGCCTGGCAACCCTGCCCAGAATAGGGCGTTCACGTTGGCGTTATCCACCAGGGCAGTGTCGTCGACCTGTCCGCCGCCGAACTGGGCAACGACCAGGGGCTTGCCTAGCATCGACAGTTGGCTGATGAGATCGAGTTGGTTACCTGGCCAGGTGATGGAAACACGGTCAAGTGTCTCCGCCTCGATAGTGGTGTCGATTCCACCGCAGAAGATGACAATATCGGAATTCTTGGCGGCCGCCAGTGCGTCCGCGAAGCCGCTGTCGCTGGTGCTGTTGATGTCGGTGCCCGCTGCATAGTTTACCTGCAGGCTGCTCTGCTGCGTGAAAGCCCAGAGGGGGCTCCGCACGAAGGGTGCCCTCCCAAAGTAGTTCCCTTGCATCTGCGTCGTGGCGTTGGCAAAGGGCCCGATGAGGGCGACGGACTTGTACTTGCCGTCGGCGAGCGGAAGAACACCGTCATTCTTGAGGAGGGTCATCCCCGCGCGAGCAGCCTCACAGGCAATCTGCTGCGCATCGATAGTCGACACGTCAGACCAGCCTAGTGAGCTATGACTACTGCCATCGAAATACCCTACGGTGAAGAGTGCCTTGTACAGGCGCGTCAGAGCCTCGTCAACGCGTTCCTGCGTGACTTGTTTGTCGGCCAGGGAGCCGTTGAGGTGGAGGTAGGAGGAGCCACACTCTAGATCTGTGCCAGCAGCCATCGAGACGGAGGCTGCGTCCTGCTCCGTGTTGGTGAAGTTGTGCAGAAGCCACACGTCCGTCACCGCGCCGCAGTCGGACACGACGAACTGATAGTCGTTGGTGAAGCCCCAGGTGTCTCTGAGGACCTCCTTCAACAAGTACTCGCTGCTGCATGCCGGGATTCCGTCGACACTGTTGTAGGAGCACATGACGGTGCCGACATGGCTGTCTCGCACACAGCGTCTGAAGGCGGGCAGGTAGTAATCCTGCAGGTCTTGCTGAGTGGGGTTGTAGTTGTTAGCACGCCGGGCAGTTTCGATGTCGTAGGCAGCGAAATGCTTGCAAGCAGCGATGATGACCTTGTCGGTGGGATCGCTGCCCTGCAGCCCCGTGACGTAGCTCTGGACGTAGTTGGAGACGACCAGGACGTCTTCTCCCGGGGTCTCTTGGCCTCGGCCCCATCGTGGATCCCGGAACGCGTTCATGTTGGGCGTCCAGAAGTTGAAGCCTGCGTAGCCGTAGTTGCTGAAAGCGCGACCCTCCCTGCCGATGACCTGGCCGATTGCATTGAAGAGGTCGTCGTCGAAACTCGCCGCCGTCAGAATTGGCAAGGGAAAGCTTGTGGCGTAACCGAAGGGCTCCGAGTCTTGTGCAAATAGCACGCCAGGGGAAAAGCCAACCCCATGAAGGCCCTCGTTCCACCAACCGTGAGGTGGGAGCCCCAGCGACTTGACGCCGGCAGAGGCATCGACGAGATTGCGAACCTTCTCCTCCACGCTCATGTCTCCCGTGAGCGACGCAACCCGCTCAGAGATACTCTTTGAAACATCACAGACGGGGTGCTTACAAAGCGGGTAGGTTTGGCAGGCGGGCGGAACAGGAGCAGCGGACGCATCACGGCTTCCAGGGTTTGTGATTTTATACACAGAAACGCTTCACGCACAAAAACGAAAGTCAGCCCAGCAAGCAAGCGCCTGGATAGGGCTCAACATACTAGCCGTACGATCCGCACATGAGCGAAGGATCAGTGGGGCATCCCGTGTTGCACTTATCATCGGACGTAGCAGGCGCGTCGCTCATGCTCGATCCACAAAGGCATTGACTGTTGACACGATTTAGTCTAGCCCTTCGCTTGTCTTTTATTTCACTCGCGAAGGCGAGTCCGGACCAACTCACGTTCCCGAAGAGATCGCCCCATAGACCAGACCTCGCTCTCCGCAGTAGTCGGAGCAAACCTGAGGGGTCATGGCGATGGAATACAACTTCCCTTTGTCGAAGAAACCGTCGCCGCCTTCGAAGCATCCCACATAGTCTTTGGTGGCCGTATAAGACGGGGAGCTGTCTCCGGAGCAAACGAAAGAGGCGGCCCGAGCCCCTGCTAAGAGGGAGAAGGCCGTCAATACGGTTGGAGAAAGGAAAGCCATGGCGATGTCAAATCTTGGGCGTGAAAGCTCCAAAAGAATGTCGTGAAGCAATACAGGCTGCTCCCACGTTGACCGCAAAGGTGATGAGGGCGGAAGTCAGGCGCCTTATGACTGACTGACGGCCATTGCCGTCAACTTTGGAACTGGCCGGTTCCCGCAAATTCTCTTCAAATAACTAGAAATGACGTTCAGCTGCATGTAGCTTTGCACCAAGACATGCCCAGCAACGCAGCTCAGACGGGGGAACCTTACGATGTGGCTCTGGCCTACTGAGGGTTCGTTGGCACACTATGCGACTACCTCGTAACCAACCTTAATAGTACGCACGGTGGCGTCACGGCCCTTGGTCCCCGAGAAATCATCCTGAACATGCGCTGGTTAGTCAGTTATTGTAAATCGGCCAGTGGTCGCTGGGTTGAATCAGGAACGCGACCAAGGTATCAACTAGAAGGCCAGCAATTCTTTGGGGAAACCTTGACAAATGAATCAAAGGTCCAAAACCACCCAGAAGGGGCCTAGGTAGTGTGACCCTCGGCCAACCAAAAGGATTTAGACACCATCAACTCGAGCCGTGCAGGGATGGTTCCGTTTGACGACGTCGAGTCAACTCTTCTGTCAATGACTGCGGGGATGTCTGCCCGGTGGCAGTCGAAGAGAGGACGAACGGAAAACGGAACTCTTATATTATTGGCACCCACCGAGCTACTCACAGGTTACTGGCACACCTCCCGTTCTGGGTTGTTCTTTTACAAGGGCATCGCCAACGAGTCAAAAGAGAGTTTCCCGCCCGTGCGGGCTTTTCAAAGAAACGAGTCGATTCATCCTCTTACGTGTAATCTTTCTTCATCATGACTCATGGCCAATCTACGAGGCAGCTCTTTCGACTCGCAGGGGTGCAGCTTGGAGAGCATAGGCGAATCATGAGATTATTCCCCGCAGCACAAGCCGTGGCAGGAGCAGAGACAACCGACATCCAAATGATCAGACGCCAAGACACCTGAAGGACATAGCTTAACTAGAGAAAGTCTCAATCAACCCACTCTTTCACGATGTGACACAGTCCTAGCATGGCCACCATCCTCGGCGACCAGACGAGTAGGACAGACTAAGCTACCGAATAGTCAGGGGTTCCCGCCTTTGACGGTTGCCTATAGTACAACAGATAGGCACAAGGATGTCTAATTCTCAAACTAGGAAGAAAACGACATACTGGTGGCATGGGCCTTGAGATATGTATCAGCACCATATCAGTAGGATTCGCAAGTGAGGTCACTTTCGCGACCACATGGAGAGGGTGCCACGACGAAGCTAGATCCGCCATGAACATAATGCACCGTCTCAATTACACGGCGGTGTAATCCTTTGGCATACCCAACTGTATGAACTCCGTTCGCAGAACATATCGCCGTTGGAACCTCGGCTCAAATGCGTCTATCTCTGTCCTAAAACCCAGTCCTACTGAGCAGTCCAATCCGGCCAAGTGGCTTGGGTAAGGATTATCGACACTGTCATAGAGAAACTTCTGCACGTTGTCGTCTAATCCAACACTGTGTCCTGGCATTTGGGTCCAATCAAGAACCCGAGGCTTGGGAATTCGTCTCAGCCGCATCTGTAGGTTTTCGGCAGCTAGAACCTGCCTAAGGCGCCCGTTGCCAAAGGATGATATACTAACGAATTGCACCGCCTACTCACCAAGAGGTCGGGCTTGAGTCTGCCGAAACACGGGGTTTAGACTGTAGCGACGAGGTTTATGTGCCCTTCGCGAAGCTCTCTAGGTCCAGCCCAGAAGACGTTGGCGGCACTTCCAGAGTCAACTTTAGTTGCCGTCAATGACAAGTTTATGGACCGTTGTGCGGCCTTTCTAGGCAAGGACGCAAGAGACAGCACGGAAGCCACGCCGACCGTTCTTACAGCCTCGTCTTCACAGCGCTTCCAGGGGATTTTCATCTCGATCTGACGGCGTTGGCCAACCGCGAGGAAGACGCTAGTTGTCACGATAGCTTCATGTATTTCCACCTCATGTAACAACACTGTCAGGTGCCTTATCACGTGGTGTTTCATATTCGTTCCCTATATATAGGACTTCACTCATTTCACTTTCACTTACATAGAATTAAGCCTTTTAGACCTGAATCCATATATGCCCTGCTGTGTGCTCTAACTCGTGACACTAGTCAACCTAAGGTGGAAAGACATGGATCATGGGGTTGGGCATAGTGGTAATAAACTAGATGGTTCGAGTGCTATCACCTCACCCAACTGCTCACCTTGCTCTGGCTGCTTTGTTGCCTCGTCGGATGGCGTTTGTGGGGAGTTGGGTGAGGAGGTACATGGGGTGTTTGTTATTTACGTCTTAGCTTTAGCAGATAAAGCCCTCTTCGGCTACAATAGCCTAGAGGACCTCCAGGGCTAGAAGATATTAGATGGCAACACAGTTCATTTTATTTCGCTGGAAAGAGGATGCTCTCGATGTCCCAGCCATTCACGATTTCGCTCGAGACGGAACATATCTCAAGACGGTCTTGACTGTGGGAGCGTTTCGCAAGGATTTCCTTTCCTCATTGAAATTAGCAGGCTATGTCGGTGTTGCTCCTTCTTTTCACCAGATACGGCGCTTTCTCAGGCAACAAGTTGACAGTAAGTCCCAAGTCCAATCGTCTTGTACACTTTTAATCTTATTAACCGGACCTTAGAGAGGTACACCGAGGTAGAAAGATCGCAGCACATCAATCAAGCAGACACACGTATCTTTAGGGATAGTTATGTAGACGACCGACTGCTCGTCAGTGGACGGCTTGAGTGCCTTTCTAGGTGAAAAGGCAGACCGTACGCCAAACGATTGTTTTAAGGGCCTTGAGAATTTATATGAGCGAGGTGCACCGACTGTTCTGCCTGCTAGAATGGAACGAGAGTTGAAGAGGAGTAAAGATGTTGTGCTTCTTGGACAGCAGATCGAAGCAGCAACCGATAACGATGTCAGAACCGAGCTTATCAGTTCGCTTCGCAGTCTTCGGCGTCGAGAAAAGACGAAAGCCTCAAGCAATACCGTCAAGATTGGATAGATGGGTACATGGATAGGAGTGGTGATCTTGGAGCAGGCCTATATATCTCGGGTGACTTAAGCGGTTTCGGATCAACGGCGAGGCAGTTGTTTATCGCTACTGCCAGTGATAGAGCGAGCTAACGCCGCATTCGGACCGATGCATATCCGTAAGAGGCTTCGGGCTTTCCTCGAAGGTCAGGTATCAATGGCGGAGTCGAGTCGGTTTATCTTCGCTCTGTCCGAGAAAGACCGTCGAAAACCTACACTCTATGCTAACGTGTCAAGGGTAGCACTCACAGAGGTTCTGCATATGAAGCACACGAGATAACTATTCATCTTGACACAGATTTCTTTTTTGTTGAAACCTGCTCTTTGATCGCAACACCGCAATCGACACGCCTACACAAGACCCGACCTGATACTCGACGCGCGAACCGACGCAAGCGGCCCTACCGTCAATTCATTTTACGGAATGGCCAAGATTCAGACTACCACGACAGCGTCGGACCCAGAGCTCGTCAAGAGTTGCGAGAAAGCGGTATGCATCTTCTTGGACCCCAGGGTGGCAAGTACCTAATTATATACAGATCGGAAAGCGATGTTCGGATCCCAAATGGCAAACACTTAAGGACATCAAAATGGAACCAGGCCCAGATATAATAGCTTTGTTAGTAGATATGCATAATGCCGAGGGTCGTGTAGTTTATGCCCCAGATCAAGACGATGACTTGGTGGAACTTGTTGGCAAACAAGACAAAGGGTGCACTGTTATAATACCATGGGAGACAGGCCTCAGATTTATGTGCTCTGGTCAATGTAGCATTGCTCTGATGACAGCTATCGAGGAAAAATGAAGTGTTCCCTTTTCTCTAGGAATCAGGCTGCATCCTGGAATAAACAATCGATTGTGATTTGCGGGAGGTAGCCTGGAGTCTTAGGCATGAGAAGACGAAGGCAACCATGAGAGAAAGCCAAGACTCCATAGACGTCGTCCTTGTGTAAGCTGTAAGCTTGTGGGTTTAACGCATATGGCGATATGGGAACGTGACTATCTTGTGCCGAGCAGGGCATCGAGGAGTGCTTACCCTGCAGCGGGACCGAAAGGGAACCACTCGACAGGGAATCCGCTTGCTAGATGCTCTCGTTACCTTCCCTCTCGGCCTGGCTTTTCCAATGCGTTTCTTGTTACCATCCAGAGATGCTGAGCCATTCCTTCTTCCCGATGGCTGCAGCACACACACACACACACACACATATATATATACCATGATTTACACCGCCTGTGAAGAATCTTACGCCGTCTGCACCATGGCGCAACACCCGCCCCCTCCTCCGGGTCTACTTGCCCAAGGCCTTCTCCCGAATGAAAAAGGTCGACACGAAAGCGAGCACCAGCAGCAGCGCCACGGGGACCATGGCGCCCAGCGTGGCGACCTGGTAGCTCGCCCTCACCTCGGCGGCGACGGCCGGCGGCAGCTCGCGGATGTAGTCGAGGCTCTCGCGCACCCTCTCCTCGACGCGGCGGGCCTCGTCTCCGTCGCTCAGCCGCGACGCGAGCTGGGTCCGCAGCACCTGCTGCAGCACGGCCGAGCACACGCTGATGCCGATGCTCGACCCCAGCGACCGGAACAGGTACGAGCACGCCACGACGACGGCCGTGTCCTGCACCGCCGCGTTGGAAAGCAGCGCCACCAGCGTCGTCGTGATGCCCGCGCCGCCGCCGAGCGCGAGCAGCGCCATGCTGCCGACGACGCCGGCCGAGGAGCTCGCGCCGAGGGCCGCCACCGTCGGCGCGACGGCGAGCACCATCAGCCCGTACGCCAGCACCGTGAGCGCTAGCCTACGCGATATATGATAAATATTCCGGCGGAACTGCCCAGCCTTCTGATATTCCGTTTACCCCTCCCGTGGCTTAATGAAGGACCGGCGTACTTCTCGTGGGATTGTTTGTAAGGTTTCATATTGTTGTACTGCTAGATTCACCGTCTTAATCATTTTATCTTGTGAGTGCTGCTGTAGTGTTGAAGTCAAGAA